ACCAAAACTTCGAAAATACAACTAGTGTACGCCTTGAGTGTCACCAAAGTTTCGGAAATAATTCGAAAGTATGCCTTTGGATATCAACAGAGTTTCAAAAATATATGCCTTTGGATATCGATAGAGCTTTGAAAATACATCTAAAACACGCCTTTGGATGTCACCAGAACTTCGAATATACAACTATTATAGGTCTCTGAGTGTCTCCAAAGATTCGAAATTTCGGATAAGTATACTAGATATTCGACATTCGTATAGGATAATCAGGCTTTCAGAATACTTATCTAATACTACAAGTATGATAGATACTAGTACATTGCATTCCGAACCAAGAACTAACCACGACTTTTAGGAAAATAAGGGTTTTTCCTGGGATAACCTAACTGTTCTTAACCACACTGTGTAAAAAATGGATAACTAAACTTTGCTTATAAGAAAATATGGGATTTTCTTGGATAACGACTTTTTCAGAAAAACCAAAGGAAACTTGTTCTTTTACGAAAATAAACCGCTTATGAATTCACCAGCTTTATGCTGATTTTCAAACTGCTTGTATTCTCAGGTCCGCATTAGACAGGTACCCCACGATCTTTTGGAGAAGACGGAGCGTATAGAAGACTCGTCTTAACTTTTGTTCATATGATATATATGTATAACACTTGTAACACTTTGTTTTCAGACAATGTAAATATTTCTATGTAATGTAATGGTTGTGTTTACTACGCTTACTATGTACATTGGTTGTGATACTTTACATGACGTCCTCCGCCCCGGAACGTTTCCGTCATCGGTTTCGGGGTGTGACAATCCACTCCAGTCATATCAGCAAGTTGTCATGCGAATACGCTGATGAACCGTATTAGTAGTTCAACTAGTTGAATTTTGGTTTCCGCCAATAGGTCGACTCCGATTTGTATTACTTGTTCGGGGTGTTCACCATGTATTATGTGTTTTTTTCTAGTGGGTGGTCTTCTTTATATTTCTTGGGGGCACTGACCAGGTTTGATGTCGCCATGATTTAGTGACATGGTCGCCTATGTGGAGTGTCGGCGGTAATGGTTGTTGATCTAGACCATGTGCTGAATTCTAATGTGCTGTGAATTGTTGATAGTACAACTTGTAGCTCGAAGAGTATCGAGCGCCCTAGTAGTATGTTTTGTTCTGCTGGGTGGCGTATCATGGAGAATTCAATTGTTTGTGTCATGCTCTCTCTCCTATCGTAGGTGACTAATGTTAGTGGGAGGTGTAATGTTCCGAGAGGTCATAGGTTGTTTCTTATGAAACCGACCAGGGGTCCACCCGTTGGGGGCTTCAATTCTTCCTTCTAGGACTCTGGAAGTTGTCGGAAGCAATGTTCGTACATTATATTTGTGTTGCTATCATTATCTATGTAGACTCAGTGGATATGTTTATGACGTATCCACGTGGTTATGAGAAGCGGGACTCTTGGATTCCAATCTTGCAGTCTCGGGTCTTCCGTAGAGAAGTTGATACTGTTGATTTGTCATGTCGGCGCTTTGAAGTCGTGGTTTTCCTCATGTCGCTCACGTTTCTTGCATGGTCTATTGATCGTAAGCACTCTGTCCAGTCGTTGTTGTTTTTTGATGTCGGTTTTTTGTTGGCTAGAAAAGTAAGCAGCGGGCACCCTACACTCATCGCAAATCCTTGACAACGCTAGTCGGCCCAATGCTTGGCGTCAGGTGGCTAAGTTTGTTGGCTGATAGTGTTTCTATGGCGAGGCCAATGGTGTCATTTTGTAACAATGTAAGTCTTGTGTTTACCATCATAGGCACGTATTGTTGTTTATCGGGTTGTGTCGTACAGGGTGCACATCCGGATGACGCCAACTGTTTGTGATATGTCTCTGACTTAACTCCGTCTCTTTGAAGGATGGTAATGAAGGGCCTGAGAATCACAACAATGGAAACAAGATCGTCAGTCGTCATCCGGGAGGCGGTCCCGGAACGAAGCTCCGACGATCAAGTCAGATTTTCTCTTAGAGAGAGGGTTAAAAAAGTGTTAGGTAAGTTTTTAAGATTTTTTTCTCGATCCCTTCTCTTGGAGGAAAAGTGACTTTTTTATACATGTGATCGGGGGACAAATCCCCGACAATATCTTTTAACTTTTCAGTTTTGGCAGGGATAGACGGACTTTGATTGGTATATAGTGCTTTGCGAGTGGTTGTTTGCCATTGATGCAAGTTTGTCAGGAGCAACGTTATGAGCGTTACACCTGTCGCTCTGAGAGGCGATTGGTATAATTTTGTCTTGACACTGGCTTTGGCGCTTGGGTGCCAAGGAATGAATATGGGATCGCGAGAGCGAGGACCCAACGTTAGGCATACACCGCTCTTTGTCCACACCGTAGCTATATTTGACGTATTCCTGGTGGGATACGTCAACACATAAGTTTGGTTTGTTCTGTTATTATTTGGTGTAGATTCAGGATTTCAATAAAATAAGAAATGATTGTAACTCTGTAAGTAATTGTGTCGTCAAATCATTTTAAGATATACTTACAATATCACTAATAAAACCCAAATCTTGATTTCATACAAGTTTGGAGATGCAGAGTGCATAGTTATATAAAATGAGTTTATTCTTATACGACCATAATAATAATAAGAATAAGAGAAATTAAATTGTCTCATACCTTTTATACCTACAAATATTCATACCCACTAACATTATGACACGTGTTATCATTCCACAATTCAATTTAATTTAATTTGATATATTCCAAATATACTCTTAATGAAATAGTTAAGTAAATATGAAATGGTGACATGTGTTATAATATTAGTAGATAGGAATATTTGTAGGCATACAATATAGGAGATAATTTAATTCATCTAAGAATAATAAGTATTAAAACTCATTGACAATAACCAGTTAAATTTATTAGTAATCTGTTATTCTAACATTTGAAACCGTCGTGTAAATAAAGTGTATTCAAACTCATTGATGATCAATGATAAAAAATGATATACTTATCAATATCTCAAAAGAATTCATATACTCCTATAAATTGAATACTGGTTACCATCGTAACCTGAATTTCCTTATAGGGAAAATGCCTTAAAAGACCAATTAAGTTTCAAAAACGTTCATATTACCCCAATTACGTTTTTGTTGTTCACAAAAAACCAACGAAATAATGTTTTTTATTATAAATCCAAATAAAGTTACGAATAAAAATAAGGTTTTTTAATGGTGACCGGCATGTTGCAGGTAAACGATGGGGGTAAATGAGTTGGCATATTTCTGTTGAGTTGGCATATGTGTTGGCATATCTACGTGGCATTTGTGTTAGATAGATACAAGGCATAATGGGGGATACGACTCCTTAATCAATCGACTTCTTTAATCGACTTCTTCAACATGGCTTCTTCGTCTCGATCCTCCAACTCATGCTCAAGATCAAAAATTTCCAAGTCAAAAAGCACAATTGATAAGGCACATCCTTGTGATTGTGGGTTTCCTTCTCGCATCTGGATATCAACAACAAAGGCAAATCCTGGTAAAAATTTTAGGGTTTGTCCTAACTCTTTGGTAAGTATATATCTAAAAGCTTGTTCTTGTTTGGGTCCCTTTTTGTTTTTCATGCTACAATATTGTTTGTTTATGTTATAATTGAAGATGAAGGATCCAAAGGATAAATGTGATTTCTGGGAATGGGTTGATGATGATGAAGAAATTATAACCAAGAACGAGAATAAGAAAGATGAAGAACATGATTTCAATACTGAAGTGAAGATTGCAATATTGGAACATGATTTCAGTGAGTACAAGATGAAGACTGATAAGGAATGTAAGAGTTTTAGAAAGGAATTGGATAAAATGAAATGTTTAGTGTTGATGTTTGTTGTTTTGTTTGTAGTGAAGTACATGATTTAGTGTTAAGTTTATTATGTAAGGAAAATGTACTTTGAAATTATCAGGATATGTATCTTCAAAGTAGTTGCATTGTACTCATGTAAAATGGTTACGAAGTGGGAATGAAAAGAAGGTATTTGTGAAGACTGATACACATAGAAGGTGTTTATGAAGGCTAATAGTCCATAAAAGTAACATACTTTTTATTGATTGAAAATAGCAAGGGCAAAATAGTCCATAATAAGATTACACTTTATCAAATGATAATAGGAAGGGCAAAATAGTCCATAAAAGGATTGCACTTTATCAAATGATAATAACAGGGACAAAATAGTCCATAAAACATGTGTTTGACATTATGCATATAATTTGTGTTGTAAATGGTTTTTAAACACAAGGGCAGTTTTATTGAAAACACACATAATAGCAACATACTTTTTATTGATTGAAAATAGCAAGGGCAAAATAGTCCATAATAAGATTACACTTTATCAAATGCTAATAGGAAGGGCAAAATAGTCCATAAAAGGATTGCACTTTATCAAATGATAATAACAGGGACAAAATAGTCCATAAAACATGTGTTTGATATTATGCATGTAATTTGTGTTGTAAATGGTTTTTAAACACAAGGGCAGTTTTATTGAAAACACACATAATAGCAACATACTTTTATTGATTGAAAATAGCAAGGGCAAAATAGTCCATAATAAGATTACACTTTATCAAATGATAATAGGAAGGGCAAAATAGTCCATAAAACATGTGTTTGACATTATGCATGTAATTTGTGTTGTAAATGGTTTTTAAACACAAGGGCAGTTTTTTTGACAAAATAGTCCCACAAAACAGTTTTTACCAATTTTAACATAGTTTTAACAAATAGGGGAAAAATGGTACATTGTTATAATATGCATAAAAGGTAATAAACTACATATCAAAGCATAATTAAACAACATAATCAAGCATGTGCACATGGCACTAAATGTTGGTAAATGTGCACAACACCAAAAGACAAGCCTAAGCATCAAAAAGACAAGCCTAAGCACCAAAAGATGTGCACTAAGCACCAAAAGATGTGCCATTTCAAAGTATCTGACATAATCCTAATAGAACACACTTATCCTAGTTTATAGTAACTGGATTTTCAGTACTTTCCCCACTTCCATCTTTTGTTACCACCTTCTTCCTTAACTTCAGTTTCGTGATCCTCTCAGAAGGTAATCGCCTTTTGTTCGCAACAAAATGCTGAAAAAAAACAGGTTGATGCTGATGGTGATGATTTTCTTGATGGTCAATCTCATCCTCTTGTTGTTCAATTTCATCCTCCTGGTGGTCTTCAATATCGCCTTCTTCAACAGCCTCTTCTTCACCAATTCCATCTTCACTAACCCCATCTTCCTTGACCCTATCTTCATTGACCCCATCTTCACTAATCCCATCTTGACTAATCCCTTCTTCAACATCCCCTTCACTAACAGTTGCTTTATTTGCTGCATTGTTAAAACAAAAATAATAATTATTATACAAATGTAGATGAATGAATAATCAAAATAAAAACGAACCTTCTTTGAGCAATGGACATCGCCTCTTGTTGTGTCCTTCTTGATGACAATTACTACATCTTGAGATGGACATCCCTGTCTTGTTAATTTTATGCTTTCCTTCATTTTCTCTAGGACATTTCATTCTGTTTACTTTGGGCCTTCCTGGCATTCTCCTAGGCCGAGGTGGTAATATGGGATCAAATAGAACATCAGGCCACATGTTAGCTCCATTTATTGGTTTGACTGGATACCTATAGCAACTTCCAAACATGCTTGTTTTAAACCATACGGCTACATAGTCCTCTGCATTTCCATTCAGGTATAATATAGCAGCAATGGCATGCACACAAGGGATACCATTGAGTTACCAGGCTCTGCAACCACAAGTTTTGCTTTCAAGGTGAACAGCGTAAACTTCATGGGCTAATTTCACTTCATATTCTTCCTCGCCACTTGGAATAACATCCCAGTACCTGAAATCATATTAAGAAGGTAAGTTATTTCATATTAAATCACTTACAATTAAATAATATACCTTTGTTCTTCTTTCATCTTCTCAATCCTCTTTCTAATAGAGGGGCAGATTTCCATGTCCCACTTATGCCCCTTAATCTTTTGATTGTACATCCTCTCCATCACGTACAATCTGATTTCTTCCAGCATTGTTATTATTGGTTTCTTCCGGGCCTCTACAATTGTTGCATTGAAAGATTCAGATATACCGTTTTCCACCGCATCACAACAAGTCTGAGGTTCAAAGAATGCTCTGCACCATGTATTTGGGTCTTTTTTCTATCAGGTGCTCATAAGCTTATGTGGACATTGTACGAATTTCCCTCATGTATGATCGAAAAATTGGAATCGGTTGTAGCCTTTGCAGCACTCCAAAATAACCTCCTAAACTCAACACCCGTGAACCCCTTCTTCTTAAAGTTGGCATAGATGTGTCGGGCACAATTCCTATGCTCACATGATGGTGCCCTTTCCTTAACAGCCTCCATTAAACCCTACAAGGTGATAACAAATTTCAGTTTTAAAGTACATAATAACACATAATACAGTAAGTAAAATATAAACTATAACACACCTTGTGTTGGTCTGAAATAATTGTAAGACCCCTACCATCTCCCATCTCAATGTCCTCAAGTAGAAGATCAATGAACCACATCCAAGTTTCCTTGTTTTCAACTGGCACAACAGCCCATGCTAGAGGATACATTTGGTTGTTTGCGTCCCTACCAACGGCTGTTAACAACTCACCTCTGCAAATACCCTTCAAAAAACAGCCATCAACACCGATAACCCTTCTACATCCTTCAATCCAGCCATCCTTGATAGACTTCAGGCAAATATACATCCTTTTGAAGTAGTGTGTAGCATCAGGCGTATGATTTGTCTCGATCAAGACTGTTGACCCAGGATTAACCCTCAATAACTCAGCACCATAATTCCACAGTTTCTCATAATGGCTTACCAAATTGCCTGAAATCTCATCTAGTGCAAAGTACTTGGCATTTCTACACTGCCCAAGACTTACCTTGAGACCATAGTCTTTCCTAACCACTTCTGCCATTTTCCTATAGCTAAACTTAGGCCTTTCCAAAATGTCAGGTATTAACATTTTTCCAATCCACTTATACGTAACAAGACAACCCAATTTTTGTTGTCTAGCACAATTATGTTTATCAATTAGTGACTTGATCTGGAATGAATTTTCCTTGTTCATGGGACTAGCCCATAGTCTAAAAGGGCAAGATGGCTTCCCTTTTTCATTTTTACTGCACCTTACTAACAATGCTTTTGCCTCATTTTTTTCATACCATAATGAATAACCCTTAGACACAGCATAATTTGTTAACATATGTTTCAGTTCATCTCGATCAGAGAATTTCATACCTAACTCAGGCATCATAGTGTCCCATTTTTGGTTTGGATCGTGAATAGGATGTTTTTTTTTTACCTTACCACCAGCTTCTTCCTTTATGCCTCTTTGTGGAATAAGGTTCTTCTGTGACAAAAAAGGATCAACAACTTCAGGCCATTGAATGTCCTCATCATCAGCTTCATGGTCCACCGATAGATCATCCGATAATACCGAGTCCACATCATCTTCATATGTTTCAGTACCACTATCCCATTCTTCAGCTTTTTCTTCTTCAATCCAATCTAATAAGGGTTCATGATGGTCATCAATGTAGATACTTATTTGATTATCATCATCATCAAACCAAAGCATCAAGGAACCTAACATAATCATCTTCATCCCTGAGCTCCCTTAACCCATCTACGAGGGACCGATTTTTAAGACAGTAATACATATCCCGACATCTATTGTTGATCAATTTTTGGAGATAGGTCTTGAACTTCTTGAAATCCATGTTACGTACATCTAGCCCCATAACAGGTACTTTATCAGGATGAAAGTAAACCAAGGGATTAGGAGAAAAAACACCTTGATGGTAGACATCAATGTTGAGTGAGTCACGAGACACGCTTGCTGCACGAGACATCAATGTTGAGTGAGTCACGAGACACGCTTGCTGCACAATCGACTAACTTTCCTTCACCTTCTGTAAAAATCAATTTCACTGTCACGAGTTCACCGTTATGTAAGAACCCTAGATATCGATTTCACCCTTCACTGAGAACCCTTGATGGTGAATCGATATCCTTGTGGCACTTATGTTTGATGTAATGTGTTTTAATAATGCATGTCAGATTATCACCGGTAAACAAAGAATCGTAACCCACAAATGCCGGTCACCATTAAAAAACCTTATTTTTATTCGTAACTTTATTTGGATTTATAATAAAAAACATTATTTCGTTGGTTTTTTGTGAACAACAAAAACGTAATTGGGGTAATATGAACGTTTTTGAAACTTAATTGATCTTTTAAGGCATTTTCCCTTTCCTTATATCCAATCATAAAGTGAAAATACTATATACACAATCCTTCTAATAAACCATAAAACTTTTTTAATTCCAAAAATGATCATATTCTTCTCAGACACCAACAAGAATTACCAAGATATGTTAAATTTTCGCAACATGATTCTTCAAAACAAATGACAAGTCTGAGTGCATGTACGATTGGCTTTATGTACGTTTTATAATTGACCTGTCAATTTACTGATTGACGTTTTAATTTCTATGTAAGTTGTTTGAAAAACATAATAATTATGAAGTTAAGTCATTCGATAAGAAAATATATGGCAACATTACAACAAAACAAGTTGTTTCATTCCTTACATCTCGATCAATGTCAACATACAAACTAATTATATGATTCTAACACAAACTACAATTTTAACAAAGTAATCTACTCAGCCTTCTTATCTTTCTTCGGAGATTTGGTAGCTTTAGATGGGGATTTAGGCTCTTTGGCAACAGTCTTCTTTGGCAATAAAACAGGATTGATATTTGGAAGAACACCACTATGAGCAATCGTAACTCCACCCAATAATTTTCCAAGCTCGTCATCGTTTCTAATGGCCAAAAGAAGATGCCTTGGAATGATTCTTGTCTTCTTGTTATCCCTAGCAGCATTTCCAGCCAATTCCAACAACTAAAAACAACAAAAATCAAACAGGTTAGAGGATGTTCTATGAATTATCAAAATCCAGATCAAACCAGAAAAAAAAAACTTCATAATCCGGTATGGCATCGATTTAAGAAATCCCTAAATTAAACTATAATTTGAATAGCTGATAATCAGATCCGCATTCAACTTATATCGATACGAAAGGAGATTGGAAGAGGAAACTTACTTCGGCAGCAAGGTATTCAAGAACAGCGGCGAGGTAAATCGGAGCACCGCTTCCAACACGCCGAGCATAACGTCCTATCTTCAGAAAACGCCCAATCCTACCAACCGGAAACTGAAGTCCGGCCTTCACAGAACGGGAAACCGCCTTCTTCCTTGGACCGTCTGCCTTTCTTCCTCCGGCGCCCTTCTTAACTTTTCCATCTCCGTCCATTTCCTGTATGCCGACGAATAAATTGTAATTGTGCAGTAGTGAATGAATTGTTCGATAATCGATGAAGAACAAGCGTATACATGGTTTGGTTATGTAGAGAGAGATAGATGGCGGGGAATTTGGGATCGATCATAGCTTTCTGTTGACCGTTGGATGGAGTGTTGTTTCAACGGACTAGATTTGCCAAAATGGCTATCCGCGGGAGATGATACCGATTATTTGGTTTTGTGATTTTCAAATTTTGTTTAAAAATTTAAGAAAAAATATGGATCTCCCGCGGGACTTTCAACAATAGAGTTTTTCATGTTTTACTTTTAAATGCAGTTACTTTTATTTTATTATATAATTTCATATATGTTCATTTATCTATTAAAATTTAAATCTAAAAGTTTTGGATTCGAAATGAAGTATTAATGCCTCTTCCTTAAGTTATACTGTAACGAATCAATTTCCAAATTTTGCAGCTTTGCAAATTTAGAACTTTGTTTCTTATAAATAGCATTACTAATTTGCAACGCCTTACATAATAATTACGTTCTCACTAGTATAACAATTATGTTCTTATTAGCATAACATTTATGCTTCCACTAACTTTGACATATATTCAGAAAATAGTTTGACTTCTAGAAATTAATATTTATTTACTTTCTTACGAAAATTTAGATTTCTGATACGCAATGTTTCGATAAGTCTTTATCTAGACTTTTCAAGCTCATACACCTTTCATTAGACAACTTATGTGTGTGTCTAAACCCTTTCAAAACTCATAACAATAAGTCCCGAATGTTCAAAACTATTTTCCATTTCTTACAATTTGAACTATAAAAATGGATGTTGTAATCATACTCGAATTTGGGAATGCAATTACCACAGTTGCTAACTATAATCCATTAAAATCTACTCGTGAAAGCGTTTTTTCATAATCATTTTTCATGAGCTGGAGAGAAACATATTGTCACTTAGATTTGAAGGTGTATGTGTTCCTACCTATGTGAATTTGTCATTTCCAACCATTACCATAATATAAGGTTTATGACAAATTCAACCTCGTATGGATTGAGCTTACTTATTATCAATTTATTGTCGTCCAGTAGCACAATGTCCTACCATTGCTTCCAAGTTATTAAGCAACTCACCTACACTGATCAATGTGCTTTGTCTTATACAATCAAATGATAACTCATAAAACTCACATGCATAGTCAACTTAACTGAAATAACATAGAAACAATAATATGTCAACACGATAGGTTGTCAACCTCAGGTCGTGTGCTAACGATTATTAATTGGTTTATTCATGATTAGTTCTTGAAACTATTCAAGACAATTTAAGACTCCCACTGGTCTCTTGACATATAAGAATATCTGTCAACCATCATTCCTTGGAAAACAAATATTAAAGATTTAGTGTGGATTCTTATCAATACAACATTTCATATAATTGGTCTTAGTTGGTATTTGTTTTAGCCAAGACATCACAACTACCAATTTCAAACGTGCAAGATTAAGAAACATTTCTACTCCACATTTCATGAGGTGTTATAAACCTACTTAGAACATGTTACTCAAGGTACAACTTGGGGTACTAGAGTATAATTCTAAAACTTGATTTTGGAATGAAGTACTATTTATCCTTTTGATTTTAACCATTTCAACAATTCTCGATACCTCTTCTTAGTCATGTAAATGCACTAATGTGTCCTTATAGTATCAATTGTGACATGGTTATACAATCACTAGGATGATCATAAAACACAGTGCTAAATTACTCTCATTTCCTTTCGGATTGGAGAAACTTTTATCTTTCTACCCAATTTGATTCTTCTTATTCATCCTGCTGTACTTTGAAACTTTTCAAAATATCATAATTATAATTAAACTTGTAAACATAACCATATTTACTGAACTACCAATAAAGTATGATTAATAGACTTATTATCCTTTATGGTGGATCTGAACAATCCACATCAATGTGTACTAGATCTGTTAGTCTTTCATTTGATTCACATACATACGTGAACAAGGAATTAATCCTAATTTCCCAAGAATCGAGATTCTCATACATCACACAATTCAAATCGTATGATTCCAAGTTTCTGTCCAATTGACACTTGGGTGATGAGAATCCTTCATCACTTGGTAAATTATGATACTATCACAAGCGATATAACTAAGAATCAAATTATTTTTCAATATTGCTATCAATAGAAACATAAACATCAATTTTCACAAATGTTATTGCAAAGATACGTAAAATAATATAAAATCAAATTTTACTTTATTTATAAAATGCGGAAAAAACTTGTTTTTACAATGCAATACATATGAAAACTATGTTACTAAATATTCCTAAACAATCTATCATAACTCCTAAGAAGCAGCTAAAAAATATGATCATCGAACCATGCGACCGAAATCCACTTCTTGATGATTATACTCAACATACTTTTCCTTTAAGCTTGCTTGTTTCACTTATATTCTGAAAAACATCAAAATGTAATCTTATCACATCATGTATCAATAATATATAAATAGGAACTTAACAGAGTTAGATAGTGAATGTACCTGAAGTCTAGTCATACAATTTGACTTTACCGTCTCTTAGATCTCTCAGGTAGTCAGGGCAGCTTCGCTTCTAATGTCCCTTCATTTAGCAATAGAAACAAATAAACTCTTTAGGAGTGACATGTGGAACTATCTCATAGTCAGCCTTTCTCTTACGGTCAAACTTTTTAACTTTGGCCAATTTCTATCCTTTAGGATAAAAAATAATTTATGGACTATCACCGTTGTTATTGCCTATGTCCATGGAAATTAGGGAAGTGGATCTTCCAAACAATTTTGCTTTAACAATGTGCCAAATCATTGTTGATTCAGCAACAATTAGCAAATATGGCAGATCAATAAGGGTCACGTCGTGGTCTGCCAAATAGTAGTCCTTGACGAACTGACTATATAACTCAGGAAGTGATTAAAGAACCAAGTTAACAACCAACTTCCTCGGGAAATAGACACCAAAAATTCCAAGTATGTCAGTGTGCAACTTTATATTCAGAACGTGTGCACACACTGGACTTCCATCTCGATGCTTGCATGCCAATAGGGCTTGAGTGACATTTAACTTTTCAAGTTGACGAAAATGTGGGTTAGGGATAATCATTGGAGGAGGTGGAGGAAGCGAAGAATAATTTCCGTTTCCACCAATGCACAAAAAAGGGATTGATACTTCACCTTGATCGACACGTGAAATATCACCTTCAAGAGGAAAAGCTTTTCCAAAGGAG